AGATAAAAATGGAATTTCCAATTCCGATTAATTTATAGTGAATCGATCAAAAGAATATTATTTTTCATTCAAAATTGTATTTCAGGTTCATATTTATAATTTCTGTCCCGGCATTACTGCGTCTTTGGCTGTGGAACAATTATTAAAATGGCCCGAGATTGCCGTCGGGTACACGGAAATACCCTATTGGTATCAACCATTTAAAGCAAAAGATTTATAAAAAAGTGAAAATTATAATTTTTTTTTTTTTCATAACAGAAATATATTAAACAATGGAGATCAAGCCTAAACGACAGTCAACTTCACTAGAAATTGAAAACGAGATCGAAGAAACGACTTGCGGAGACACTAAATTATCCTTAAAATGGCGGAAATTCTTTCCAGAATCGCGGAAATTTAATAAGGAAACTCTAAAGGAATCAACCTTGCCACCACATGATCCAAAAAATTGGCCCAAAGGAAAGAAATCTTTAATCCTTTGTATTGTCTCCCTCGCTTCAATGATTTCTCCAATGTCTAGCACGTAAATACATTTAACTTGCTGTATGAATCATCGAATTGTTTTTAATTGTTGTTTGTTTTTTTCTCTAGGATATACTATCCCGCCGTTATAGCTATACGCGATTACTTTAAAACCACGGAATTTATCGTTAACGTGTCAAGTAAGACGAAAATAAATGCGCGTCATTTTGCAGGCTTTAATGACGACTAATTCATCATTTTTGATTTTCGTAGTAAGCGTATTCATTTTCTTTACGGGTACCGCAGTAAGTGCCCATTCGGACCATACCCTTTTAAACATTTTGATTTTTCTTATGCTCATTCAAGTAAAGATACTTTAAATAACTTGACAGCCGCTTTTCGTTGGATCCTTCTCAGACACTTATGGGAACAGACGTCACGTTTATTTGGTTGTTATATTGCTTTTCACGATTCCAAGCGTTATATGCGCACTAGTAAAGAACATTTGGGTATTAATTACGATGAGAGCCATACAAGCATGTGGTTCGTCCGCAACTCAATGTCTCGGCGCAGGAGTTATAAGTGATATTTACATTCCAACGGGTATCCTGCTTGCATTCATATTCTTTTTCTTCTTCCCTCTTGAAATTGCCTTTAAATTTACTTCTTTTAAATCATAGAGAGAGGATGGGCGTATGGAATCTTGTATCTTGGATTTTATATTGGAGATTTAGGAGGTCCGATAATTGGTGGACTTCTCACAGAACGTCTAGGATTTACGTGGATATTTTGGTTTCAAGCAATCATTGGATGTATTCTTCTACCGTTGATATTATTTTTTCTTCCTGAAACATATCGTCATGACCACGCTACTCCCCAACCAACTGCACCTTCTCAACCTATAAGACGAAATGTTAAAAAATTCAATATATTAACGCCTATAAAGCTTTTAGTTTTACCGAACGTATCATTAAAAATCATTTATATGAGTACAATCTGGGCATTCATGTACGTACAAAACGTCATTATACCAATAATATTCTACGAGTCATATCATTTATCATATTCATTTATTGGATTGACGTTTCTTGCACCAGGTATAGGTTATTTAATTGGTAGCGTCATAGGTGGACGTTATTCCGATTATGTGTTGACAAAGTACGAAGTAGGCCATGATGGGTACAGTTACCCGGAAGTTAGATTGAATAGCATTTGGTTTGGATGCGTTTTAATACCCATTTCATTTGGTGGTTTTGGATGGTCGCTCGAGTATAAAGCTCATTTGATCTTTCCTATCATTTCCATGTTTTTAGGTAAATTTTTATTACAATATGTTGAGAAACGTAATGTTGACAAACCTTTAAAAAAAAATATATATATTTTTTTTTTAGGTGGATTTGGATCATTATTTGTTTCGAATTCGACGGTAACTTATTTAGTCGATTCATATCCTGAATTAAGTGCTTCGGCTATCGCACTAAATGATTTTGTTCCTTGTATAATGGCTACTATTTATATTACAATTACCGTTCCATTGCAAAATGCCATTGGTGTTGGTTGGTTATTTACTATTTTATCCTTTATCAACTTGATAAGTATCAGCCTTATAGTTTTAGTATACGTTAAAGGAAAAGATTGGAGGGAAAAACA